TTTCAATTATTAATTTTTGATACGTTATTAAGAGAAGAAATTTTGTATGATTAATTGCAGTAAAGTCTCATTTACTTTTGAGTACTTTTTGAAATGCCCATTATGAAATAATGATATGTCACTTTGATTGCTAATCCGCAGTTGATTAGATTATTTGGCACATGATTTATCTCATGAAATATTTTCACATATTTTATTCTTTATGCCGAATAATTTATATCAACACTAATATTTATTACTCCAGCAAATTTTGTGCTTCCAACTTGATTAGGAAGCATGATAAAGATTAAGGTACTTCCATCATAATATATTCTGATGTATGATGGCATCTTAGCTTTCAGGTATCAATAATCAGAATGAAGAATGAACACATATTTAATGATCGTAATTGTTGATTACGCGATACATAATTGTTCTAATTGGTAACGATTTTAGGTAAAGAAGATTGAGTGATTATGGTGTGTAAAAACAGATAGATATGTTCAAAGAATTGTCATAATTTCAGCGTATTATAATACAAGAATTCTGCACAAAATTTATGTAATTGGCAAAATGATACTATTGTTACAAAGAGTTTCAATTAATATTTCGTACGTCTGATGCGTTAACACGGGAGGGGTTATTAGAAGCGATGTAATTTACAGTATAGGAATATAAGTAAACTATTTCGTATTTATTATTTTTTCTGTCACACGTTGTGATCGATTTGATCACTCTTGAAAGAGTTATTGTGATTGAGAAATTAGTATTTATATGTGCTCTGAAATTTAAGTCAAAACTAATATCCACTTGATCCATCTAATTAATATCCAAGTGACCTATCGTGATAGAAATAGTGACAGATGTATATCTTGCGTAAATATGTCGTTTTTAACAACTGCATACTTTATTTGGAAAGCGTTCAAATCATCATTATGTACCAATCTTTGTCGAACACATCGCGTATAAGATATTTTCACTTAACTGTTTCTCGTGCAATTATAATACCGTTTTTTATGAACTCAAAACGTAAATAAATCATAACGTTCTCTTTACTGCCAGTAGGTCAAATATATAATATATCTCTCTATAAATAGAAAAATATATAAAAAATTATGATACATTACAATTTTGGTACATTATGATATTTTTATAAATTGTATTGCATAAGCAGTAAGCGTGAGATAATAAAATACAGAAACAAATCTCGTCAAAATGCAAACCATATTTCTTCATTTTTTAATTAAATTTTATCTTTAATTTGCTGTTATTTATAAAATAATTATATTAAAAGGAGAATTTTATTATTTTCTATATTGTTATCACAGAAACATTTTCATTCCATATTTTTTAAGGCGTGCAACAGTCAGTAAAAAATAATCACTATAAAAATTTTAGTTTGATGCTGTTTATAATTAATTTTTGTTAAAGAGTTATTTAATTTTTCTTGAATACGTATAATTTTCTTAATATGTTTAAAGCTTTCTTAGTAGTAGTTTAATCTGCAACTATTGATTTTGTTATTGTGATATAAGTATTTATCTCGCGCACCTGTATATACACAATTATAATTGTGTATACGTGATTATCATAATTATGTACATATTTAAATGAACAAATAATTATACTCACCAGACTAAGGTATTGCAGGCTAAGGTATTGCAGGCTAAGGTATTGCAGTTTGCTCCAACCGCTGCACATCTCGTTTTGGATGGCTCCATCAGTTTCATTGAAGAATCGATATATACTGAAACTTACACTTATAATTAATTATGAGCATTACTGAACGAAAGTCGACTCGCTCTTTTCACTTTTGGGGAAAAGTGAATAGTGGATTTACGTTGTAAATGTGTCACAATATAACGCTGCGATATATGAAATCAAACGTTCTAACAATCCCGGCGCTTTAATCAGTATTCTTGGTAAAAATTTGCATTCATATACTTTTAATAAAAAAAAATTAATTATGCAGCAGATACGTTTCGCGCTTTGAACAGCGTGTCGTAAAAGTTGTCATAATGACCGGGTGATGGCGCGCAAAATGTCGAACCGACAATGCCGACCATTGATATATTCAACGCTTTGCGCGCCTCTTGCGGTCACTATAAGAGTCTTTTTACCAATATGTCCGAATGCAAAGCGCGAATGTTCCGCGATTAATTATTTCATCCATATTAATCTGTATTAAAAATTCTTGATAGGTACAAATTTTTGATCGAGAATGCCGACTATAGTGACGAACGATCTCTGGAACATATTATTTAGCGCGAGAGTTCTCGATTAATATTGTTTCGCCGATCTTGTACGTCGCGGATTGAAACCGGTAAGATTTTCGCGAGTATGAACTTTGATGCTACGGACATACGCGATATACTCTTCATTAGATGCATTATTTCGAAAAGTTAGCTCATTAGAATCAAATGGAATAAGATCATTCATATATGTTTGCGTGTATGTTTGTAGCTGATGATTTCCGTGTAATCGCCGCATGGACATAGGAATATAGGGACAGAGCACAAACATAAGAAATGGGCAAGGGGAGTAAAGCGAAAATGCGGGGGGTCCGCCATGATAGTGTGCCTGAATTTGATTGGTTATGGTTTTGCGCATGCTCAATACCGTCAAACTTATTCAGACTGCATGCAACATAAGCAATCTGAATTAAGGCTTTAATTGTGAAAAAGAATAAATGACTATATTTTTATATTTTCTTAATTTAGAAGGAAATAATAATATTATAATAGTGAATTTTTTAAAATAGTTTATTGCAACGAAATTATTAGTCAGTAGTTAAAAGGATATCATAAAAATTATACATAATGAATAATTGTAAATATAAATATTATTAAAAAACGAAATCATATACTTTACTTAAATCATATAATTTACTTGTTACAAAAGTTTTATAATTTTCATAAAATATATTGTTACTTTATAAAATATAAAAAAACTTTAATAGTAACAATTTTTTAAATAATATATTATAAAGTGATAAATAACAATTTTTATTATTGTCCTTTAAAAAGTATAAGTTTATTAAATAACTGACGTTGACTATTTGACTTATCTATAGTATTCAACGCTATATAGTATAATCTAATTTTAACATATTTGTTGACAATAGCTCGGATTAAGTGGACAACGTGATTTTCCATTAATGATTGGTCGTATGCATGCTTATTTAAATCTTTAAATAAAGTGACATTAATAAATTGCTTCAAAACTTGGTTCGATATATAGGACTCATTATATTTTCGTTTTATACATGTAAATGTTTTGCTTGCATGAATGGCACACCGAATTTCCGTCTCACATTTACGACAAATAGTAATAACATACCTCTGAGGGTTGTATTAATCCCCCGCGACTTTTTACACTTATTAAATTATTCTTTCTATCGTTATTTATTAATGCACTAATACAAATATCGCAAATTAACTTTTTTTTTAATTGCATTACGACATAGCCGGCAATATATTCGACGACATTACTAGAAAATTCCGAGATTTCCCGGACATCCGAAATATAGTTGTGATCATTAATTAAATTAAAATCTTCATCATAATTATTGTTTTCATCCGATTCATTATCATTATGTAATCGTGACAGCCGTGACGTGGAATTTATAATGTCTTCGGAATTTTTTATTTTGCCAGCAGATGTTACGTGTAAAATTGATATTTCTTCTAAAGAAATACAATTTCCAGTTTCTGAGTTACGTAAATCTGCGTGAACAAGAATTTTTTTCATAGCGGCTTTGAATTGTCTGACGGTAGGATTATTATTTCCTCCGCCATGATGTCGAAAACATCCAAATAATAATTCTATATGATCTTGACTAAATTTATAAAACGAAATGTATTTTAAATAATTTTTCTCTGTACACAGTTCTTTAAATAATAATAATGCACTTTCTATACAAATGAGAAAGCCTAAAAACCCAGTTTTTCGACGAGAGTGACATAATAACTCACCATTTTCTTTTTTTAATGATAATATGTACATTTTAAATTCGTTAAATTTATTTGTTATTAATTCTATATTTTGAGAACATAATGCTTGTTTTAATCCAAACTGTTTCATGTTTCTTGAATTTAATATGTCGAAGAGATCATTAAAAGTTAATAAAAATTTGATATTATTCCCTCGCAACCTTCAAATTTTTTTAACATTAAATTCTTCTCACAAAAGAAAAGCGAATCTGCTACCGAATTACTAAAAATCTGAGCCGCTAAACGGACTTTCTATTTTTTGTTTATTATAATTAATGTGTGCACTTCGTAATTTGTTCCCTAAATGCATATTTTCGCATTCTTGTAATTCATGAAGATTATTTAAGTAAGACCATTTGATTAGTTGATTATTTCCATCAATAAAAGTTTTGATGTCTCCAAAGGTATTTCGTACCAATTTTAGCATGTGGCTGGGATCAAAAAAAGCTGCTACTTTTTCATTTGTTGCAGGATGTGGAAATGACGTCTGTAACGAAGTTATATCGTTAAAATTGCATCCAAGATTTTTAAGAACAGAAAAATTTGTAGATGTTCCGTCACAAGTCAAAGATACCATTCTCAAGCCCGTTTCATGCACAGCCTTCAAGCACTCAATCACTAAATTACTTTTTTCACTTGTAGATATTCCTTTTATTAAATAGTACGCGATTGGAATTTTCCATTCACCATTTATGCAAACAACCATAAAAGTTAAAGCTTGAGTTGCTAAGACGGTATCATCACAAGCAATATTTTTTCCCAAATCAATATAACCGCTAAATTTGGAACCGTCATATTCGAAATGTTCTCGAATAGCCATTTCATCAAAGATTAAAGAGCCAAATAATGTATAATCTGTTTTTTTACACGTTTGGTAATAGAGTTTAACGCTTCTGAAGAAATACCAGGTTCCCCATTAATAGTTTTATACCAAGAAGATATAGTTTTGCGTGTGGCAAGCACTTATTAAATTGATCACGAACATATTCGTATGCTCGTGGAGAATAATAGTGAAGTGTTAATGCAAATGACCTGATTTTCGGTGTATATTGTTTAGATAAGCATGCATTTTTTTTCCGTCTAATTAAGCGTTTAAAAAGCTCACCGGTTGATCCACCTAGCAGATGTATCATTTCGGCTTGTGTTTCATTTAACAGTTCATTATTTTTTAATTTGTTTAAAATGCCTTTGAGTGTGACCACTTGATCGCTGTATCGGCATATTTTTTGGCGCACATTTCTCATTTTCTTCGCATGTTCTGCTTCCAAAATCTTATTCTTCTTCGTAATCTGGATTTTTCTGGAGAATTATAGATGCGTTTTGGTGATACCATTGTCGCTTTATCTATTTTAGATATTAAAGATTGTGCTAAAATAATAATAAATATAGTTATATAGATTTAAATAAATATGATATACTGAAATTATCAGTCTATTTTCTTTAAAAATAGCTATATAATAATGCATCATAATTAATAAAAATTATTCTTACATGGAAATATATTTGGTAATTCATTGATTGATTCTGTTGGAACTATTGGTTCTAACAAATGATCTGTTGTATCATGTATATTATCGTTTGTAATACTGGCAGAATTTTCAATATTAGATTTTGCCACAAAATTTGAAGAAGAAATTTGATTTTTATCATGTGTAGATTGTTCTACTACAGTAGAATTCGAAGAAAGTTGTTGTATTGCAAGTGTTCTCTGAAATATAAGAATATTCATAAATATATAAATAAAATATTGTACATATATCATAAATAAAAAATAAATTTTTGTTATTATTTATACATTCGGCAATGCATTTGGCTTAAGTTGAGTTATCGAACATGTCTTATCAAAGAATTTTTCATCAAAATGAGCAGAGCAAATGCGAGCTGTATTTGGGATAGATGATAAATTTATTCCCAAACTTTCTAACCACATTGCTCGAGTTGTAGGATTTTTTGGAAACCTAAAAAACAATGCTTTTAGCAATATATACTCTTAAAATAAAATATATATATTACTTTAAATGTGAGAAATTTTTAATTAATATACTTGCTCTGTCCCTATATTCCTATGTCCATGAATCGCCGTAATAATCGTCATTTGTCTCACTCACTCTAAGTACTAGGCGGCGCAAGATGTCTGACTTCATGATGATGCAATAATTCCAAGAATTTTTAAACATACTCGTTATTCGAATCTGCTCGTTTTAAAATTTTTCTAGATTGATATAACTTTATATGATAGCACTTATGCCGCCTTGTATAATGTTGAACAATCGATTCAATTACAGTAATATGTGCGAATATACGTTTTATCGGCACAAAAATACATTTTATTTAATTTTTATCGCTTACGTTACGCGACGTGAATCCGTGTGATTTTCGTGTAAATGAAGTGTGCGGGTTTTGTGTAGTGCATGAGTTTGAGGCGGAATCTGCAAGAATTGAGCAAATTGCAATTTATTAATTGGTGAGTATAATAATTTGTTCATTACTTAAATATGTACATAATTATGATAACACACATATACATACCCATACAGCACAAAATATCCTATATATCCTTGGGACATCTTGGGGAGATCTCGATGTCCTCAGAACATCCTTGGGATACCGAAATATCCTCGATGTTCTAAGGATGTCCTAAGGATATCCTGAGGATGTTTTGTGCTGTATGGGTAATTACTTTTTGCAGGCTTAAAAAATATGCAATGTAAACATTTCTATAATAAAAAATATAAAGAACAATGAACTTCTTTCTTTAATATAATTACTTTTGTAGATAACTTAATAAAAAATAAAATTTAATAACTAATTGAATATATATGCAGGTTTCTGATATTTATTAAATCTTCGATGGAACTGATGCTAACAATGAGCATTTTAAGGCAGATTCTACAGCGGCAGAACAAATTGCAATATCCTTGCTGGTGAGTATAATTATTTACACACATAAATTTTTGCATACAATTTTTTAAATTAAAATACAAATAATTCAATATGTAATAATCAACATGTATAAAATAATAACTAATAAAAAAAATAATAATTTTGATATATAATTTATGTTATATAACTAAAATATATATTAATTTTTTAAGGTGCAGTTGAAAGAGATAACTAGGATACAACGACCGGTGAGTTTATTCATTTATATGATTTATGTATTATAGTATGTAAAATATTGATTATGTATCTGCTATCCTTTTATTCGCCGATACTTATTAATGATCTTGCTTTGACAATCATATTTCTGCAATTGGCATTTCTACAAATAAAATAATAGATTATAAAATTACTTACCTTATTTTAATAAAAGTTTTCTAATTTTGCACAAGTTATATACAGGGTGATTCAAAACAACCCAGGTGTTCTTGCACAGACGTATTCCTGAGTTAATTCTGAGACGATTTTTCCTTTACAAAAATTTTGTCCGCAACTTATTTTTCAAGTTATAAAAGAAAAAGTTATCAAATCACGGGACGAATACAGAAGATAGGCAGGAGCGGCGCAACTCCATTCGACACG